GGCAAGGCCAAAAAGTGCTAAAATCAAGGGTCAACAAAGCATGCAAAATAAGCTAGTGAACCATGATTTGCACTACAACTATATGAAGCACATGAGAGCTTACCAAACCAGCCAAAAAAAGAAGTATGCCATGCCAAATAATGCCCAAAAATCCACTGAAACTCAGTCAATGCATGCAAGAATGATGTGCTCCTTTGGAAGGCTATGCGAGGGGTTGTTCTACACTTGCATGATGGACATACGAAATGGAAAAACCACCTCTAGACAGAGGTTGTGAGAGTCCTAAAACTCACCAAAAAGGGGCCTGAAATGAGGCTAGGAAGCATGCAAGTGAAAGCCCCTTTGAATGGCCTTAAAGAGAGCTACTCTACACATGCATAATGGACACTTAATATGGCAAAACTACCTCTGGACAGAGGTCATGTAGGTCACAAAACTCATCAAAAATGACCTGGAGCATGGCTTTGAAACATGCAAATAGGGGCTCCTTTGTAAGGCCAACAAAGCTAGTAAAGAGAATAAGGGGTGAGAGGGTCACCCCTCTCTGATTTTGAGGCTCAAAGGCACATGTTAGCCACTGAAAATCCACTGGATTTCAGTGTCTAAAAAGCCAAACCAAGGCCGACACAAATGCTCTAAAGCATAGCTCAAAACATGAGGAAATGAAGCATACAAGGGGGTAGATGACCCCCAACAGAAAAATAGTCTTAAACAAACATGTTTAGAAGATCAAAACAAAACTTTTTTCATTTTATGACAAAGCCTAAATATGCTTGCAAATAGAGTTAAACTATGAAACAAAATAATGTCAAAAAGAGGGAAATGGAGTGTTGCCCTTGTAGCCAAAGGAACCAGCAACTTTTGGACCAAGATAGCAAGTCTTCAACCTCAGAAAATGAGCTCCAAGATGCTTGGATGGATGATGGAGAGGTTAGGCTAAGAGGTGTAGTGTAAATGGCCAAGAACAAGGATCTTTTGAACACAAGAGAGAGAGATATAGAGAGGTGTATATAAGTATGCCTCAGCAATTTTTCTGAACCCTAGCAATGGAAGAGGGCCCTTCCCTTTATAGAGGAGAAGGTCTAAAGCTTCTCAAAAAAGCTTTAAAGCTAGCTCAAACATCCTCCATACACGTGTATGGAGGATGCATTCTGAGGCTTCCAGCTGGCACAGCTGGTTTCAACTCAATAAGAGAAAAAAGCAGAAAGCTGGCCGACCAATCTAGGTGGTCGGCCGACCACTCCCCCTGGTTGGCCGACTAGGGGTCAAAAGGGTCAAGAAGAAAAGGTGGTCAGCCTGCCCATATTGGTGGCCTCCCAGGTGAATGCAACTCAGTGGTATGGTGGGAGACCAGAAATTATGGCTCAAAGGTGAGGGAGACCAAGGGGTCAAAAGGGTCAATCATCAAAGGTGGTCGGCCTACCCATATTGGTGGTCTCCCAGGTGAATGCAACTCAGTGGTGGTATGGGAGACTAGAAATTGTGGCCCAAAAGTGAGGGAGACCAGCTTCCCGACAAGAAAACTGGCTGAAGGAGAGAGAAAAGTGGTCTCCAAGGAGAAAGCTGGTCTCCAAGAAGAAAATGTGGTCTCCCATCCTTGTACCACCTTCTTAACAAAGAAACTAGGGTCCATGCCAAAAATGAACCCACACCGATACAAAACGAAGGTTCGGGGGCCAAAACGCGCAGTCGGGTGCCCCTAAAACAGGCTGTTAGGCACCAGAGGTGGCGTGCGACCACAAAGGTGGCCTCCTGGGCCACAGTGTCCCTCTAAGGAGAGGAAACAAGGTGTGTGCCAAAAACCGGAGCAAACGGAAGTAGTTAAGCGGTCCCGAACCGAGGCACACGGCCGACAGCTCCGAAAACTGGAAACTGATCTCCAAACGGGAAAAATGGCCTACGACCACGAAACGTAGCCTATGGCCACTGAGAGATGGTCTACGAGACCTCTCCCTCCCTTCAGAAAGAGAAAAAAAAAATGAGACTTGGTTCGCAAATCGAGGCAAGGCACAAAAGGTTTCGAAGCCCGGAGGCAAGGCTCTCAGCCGAGACTTTCCAACCTCAGAACGAGCACAATATGCAACATCACTGAGCGCTCAGTTGGTGACGTCTGAGTCTTAAGGTTGGTCAAAAATGGGGTGTCTATAGTGAGTGAATATAGGAAGCAATTGTTGTTACATCAAATAAGTTGGTTTGTTTATCCAAGGTGAAAGTCCCAAAAATTGCGCGTATACATGGGTACTGATCCCGTGGACGAAATTTTCGTGAAATGACAATAGTAGTGCTCGTATAACCTACGTTTACATGGGTCCTAGTTTATGGTTTCCTCTAGACGAAATTTCCGAGAAAGGTTGCATTGTTTTGAAAGTCCCAGAATTTGATTCATTGCCTCATTTTCGATTGTTAAGGAAATGACTTATGAAGTACGATATTTATTTGGCATTACATAGTTTTAGAAAAGAGATGTAAAATGTTTTGACACGAACGTTACATGTGCATTCACCTTATAGTTTTGTTAATATTCATATACTGTGCTGGATTATCTCTACTAGGCTGTATAGGAAAAACATTTCAGGTGTTGGTGATATGCCTCCGCTAAGACAATAGCTTGGGAAGACTTGTAGCAAGAGCTTCTTTTGTGTATTTACTGTATTTATTTTTGTACAAGCCAAGGGTTTTAACTGTATTAAACTTAAGTCTACTCTGTTGCAACCAAGTATCGTCTTGGAAAGATGTAAGCCTTTAGGGCATTTCTTATTCGTCTAACTCTTATCTTGTCTCTCTATTATATTACTCTTTTGTAAAGCCTAATTGTAAATCAATGAAAGATGATCACTTTATCATTGTAATCACTTTTGATGTGAAGTACGAGGTTATAGTAATTAGTTCGGGGCATTACATGTACTATCTCTTAGATAGGTTTTATTTGCCGACTGCAACATTAGGTTTAGAATTTTTAGGGCTTTGACTTTAATGCGCTTATGTCATGTGGGCACGCGTCATCCATTTCAAATGCCCTTAATTACCAATTGTATTATATTAGTCTAATAAATAACAACTGTTAGGTTTGGTGGACGAAAAGTTGTCACGTGCTCAAATGATGTGTCAATTTGGTCTCTGTAGTTTACACGATATGTCAATTTGGTCACTATTATTTTAATTTGCTCGATTTTGCCTTTAAATCTAACAGATTGTGTTATATTAATCCAATGAATAACGACTATAAAGTTTGGTGGACGGAAAGTCAAACAATGTGGCCCTAACACATTATATTAAATTTATTATTTTTTTAATAATTTCAAAATTATATAACACATTCTTATTAATAAATAATTTTTTTATTTTATATTAAAAATAAAATCTTACAATTCTTAAATCGATTTACAAATCTCAAATTTTACAAGCTTGAGAAAGATTAGGGGTGTAATTTTGGCCCGACTCGGCCCATGTCGAGCCTTCCGGGCTCCCACCAGAAATTGGGCTGGATCGGCCCATGGGCCAAAAAACTAAGCCTAGGCCCAAGCCCAGGAGTATTCGAGCTTTTGGACAGACCAGTAGGCCGGGCCTCAAGCCGGGCCGCTGGGCTCGGGCTTTGGGCAGGCCTAAACTATTTTTTTTAATTTTTTTAAATTTTTCTACCAAAATTTTATTATTTTCCATTAAAAGTAACACTGGGCCTCAGGCAGGCCGAGCTTTTGAGTGGGCCTTGAACGGGCCGATGGGTCGGGCCCACGAGCGGGGCCGTGCATTAAAGCGATGGCCTAGGCCCAAGCCCAAGGCCTCAGGTTGGGCTTGGGCTTGGCCTTGGCCTTGGCCTTGGGCTTGGCCTTGGGCCCGGGCCTAACGGGCAAGGCCCACCTCGGGCCGCTGGCAAGTTTCGAGCCGCCCACGAGCCACGGGTCATTTTTACACTCCTAAAGAAGATATTGACCCTAAGTTCCCGAATCCCACAATTATAAAAAGAATCAAACACCAAAGATTCTTTCCACCCTCGTAGTAAAAATTGAAGTTAAAACATTTAGAAAAATAAAATATAAAAAATATTCGCTTCAACAAAATTTTAAATATTACAAAACCCCTCCGTGTTTTGCTACCTTCCGAAGCAAACTAAGGAGTTATTTAAGATGTTCTAAATAAGTACACTTTTTGACTTTTTATAAAATATGAGTTAGGTTTAAAGTGATGTAATAGAGAGGTGATGTGACTTAAATAAGATGATGTGATTTAAATAGGATAGTGATTTTTTGACCTTTTAACTTTTTTAGAGGATGCCAAACCTAGCCTAAAGTTTTATTCATAATCGTTGATTTTAATGGGTTCGGATTCGAGCTTGAGCTCGAACTCAATAAAAATTTAACAAACCGAACTCGAGCCGAATTTATTTGGACGTAACTCGACCTCAAACCTATTAGCAAGCCTTAACAAACCAAAAAATTTATAAATTCATAGTTACATATGAAACTAAAATTACAATTAAAATTTTGATTATACAATTATATATACAATATATATAAACATATTAAAAAAGAAAAAAAGAAGAAGAATATTTTATTAAAATAATAATATCTGCCATCACTATTATACAAATGTATTATTCATAGTTATTATTTACATATAAATAACATATTTATCTTATTTTTTATATATATTTTTACATTATTTAATATATAAATAATAAATGTTAAACTAGCCAACTAATGAGCCGAGCTTACGAGCCGAATTTTAATAAATTTGGGCTTGTTTATTAAAATTTTAATGAACTCGAACTCGACCGCAAAAATATTTAACGAGCCAAGTTCGAACGAGCTCTTACTGAGCCAAGCTCAAGATTGAGCCTGTTCACAAATGACACTGCTCATTTGCAACCTTAATAATCATGCAATGACACTTGCTAGAATGTCTAGACCATATAGTTATAATGTTTATGATCCAAATCATTCATTTTAAATAATCTATGAAAAGCACTTGAATCAATAATTGTAACCATTTATTTCATCATCTTCTAAAAACACATGAACTGTCTATATGTAACCACAATTATCAGATGAATCTAATTTTTTTTTTATGAATAATCTATTCACAAGCACAAGGAACTAATAGAAACACGGTAACTAATAGATAAACAGTGTGGACCATTGGAGTGAGATCCCTAGCGGACCTACAGCCCCAGACAGAACAGGTCTTTATTGCAGCAGTTAATACTAATTATAAGGTTCCACAATTTGGGTAAATATTTGAAGACAAAATGCATACTTATTTTTATCCAATATGACTGCCACAACTCACAGAGGAATGCCACAAACAATGTTGTGGCTCAAACCTTATTTTATCTGATATGACTGCCACAACTCACCGAGTGAAAAGTTTCTTCTCCATCAAGCTTTCAACTGTTTCCTTGATGCTCTGCTTGAGGGGAATGAACTCAATACCTAAGCTTTTTGTTCTTTCCTTAGACACCTGGTAAGTCGGCGTAAATGGCTTGTCATCAGCGCACCTACAAAGATTATCCCAAAGATGTAGATTAAAAAAAAGGGGCACAGGTTAGAAATGAACACAACTAGTGAATGAACTACTTTCAAAGGGTTCAAATCTCAAAAGGGTTTCCATTTAAAATATGAACATTAACTACTATCAAAGGGTTCAAATCTCAATATCGATCAACTGCCAACACCTATTGATCAATCATCTATAGATATTGTTGGAAAATGTATCTAACTTATGTTATCATTCTAAAAATAAATTAATTAATTAAAAAGAGAAAAACCTCAATGGAACATTAGTGATGGTTACAAAAAGAGAGAAGCACGCTGAAAGACAAAAATAAATCTTACGAAAGAATGTGCTAACACTAATTAAAGACAGAAAAATAGCAACACAGTAGACAATACTGTAGGCCAATTTTTAGGATTCCCAATATAAATAAATAAAGATGCAAAATAATGTACAAGAATTTGTTTGATCACATGCTAAGTTCAAAATCCAGAAGACCAAACAGAGTCATGAGTAAGAAAATTGGTTGTGTTTTAGCTTTCTTTATTTTCCAAAAACAAAAACATTTTCCATTTTTGCGTGAAAACAGTTTTCAAAAACTCCAAAAATGACTTTTTGGTGTTTATTGAAAAGTGTTTTTTCAAAAAAAAATCTCCAAAACAGTTCACCAAATAAGTTTTGTATTTTCTAATAAATAAAATGGAAAACGAAAACGAAAACGAAAGCACAACTAAACAGGGTCCCCAAGTTTTCCATCAATATCCAAGCATTGAAATTCAATTCAACAGCAGCTCGTGTGCTTCTGTGGCTTTGTATAGTTTGGTAGGTCCTGGGATATGCCCCTTGTAATCTTGTATTTGCCCGTTTGCTATTTTATTTTATGACTTATTCAACCCAAAAAAAAAAAAAAAAAAATTCAGTTCAACAAAATGAAAATGAAAAATTATTATTGGAAAGGAAGCACGACAGCACAGAATTTGCATGTAAAGAAGAAAGTAAAACTGTCAATGCCTATTCTTGAAAAGCCCCAAAAGGACAAATAAAAAGGTCACGGACATCAAACTAAAGACATGTCAATTAAGATAGCATCAGCCAAAAAACATCAAGTACCCCAACATTTTGGATTTATAAATAAATATATAAAGTCACCAGACATCTAAAATATTGGTCAGAATTTGAGTATATTCTACATGCATGTCCCTACTTTTATCTTACATGTATATTCACACTACAAATCATCAATGAAATTGGAAGCTTAGCAACTCGGATGGCTTTGTCTAAGGATGCAACTGGGGCGGGCTCAATCGGATTGAGAGATTGCTCAAGCTTAGCGCAAGTTGTGTTGAATGTTGCCCAAGCTTGACTTGCAACCCAAACTTGTGTACCTAAAGCCCGAACTGAGCATAATATATGAACTCTGGCCAGGCCCAAATTGCTGGAAATTTATTTATTTATTATTATTATTTTTTGGAGCTAGGTTAATTACTTTGTTAAAGTTAGACCTTTTTTTTTTTTCTTTTGATAAAAGCATTAATAACATTAAAACAAATAATTTATATGATGAAAGAAAAGACACAGGAGAAGTTTTAAAATGGCGGAATTATTAAAAACATGTCTTAAAGTTGAAGTCAGTGGCTCCTTAACTATTTATTATCCTAGACTCATTTTGTTAAATTATAGCTTGCATTAAACGCTCAAGGACTTCTTGCAACTTGCACAATGTTTAATATCATATTATGCTAAAACTTCTTCAAATAGTCAAAACTATAGGAGGCAATGTATATACCTCAAGAAAATGATACAATTCAAGAACTTTCCAACTGAGCCTCTTTTTATCTCATCGGCTATGTTATACTTGTCCCATCAACTATGTTTTAAAAGGTAGTATGTGAAAACATCATAAAATGACATGACAAATTAGTAGGAGCAGATGGGTCTCACAGAGACTGTTAGAAAAGGTAAGGGAAATACTATTGAAACAAATTGTAACAACATGCTAAATAGTTCAAGAAGAAGAAACATTGAAGCAGAGTTTAATAAACTGAATATGTGATAAATCACTTACTTTTCTGGAAGTTGAAAAGCAGGAAACAGCTCTTGTAGTATCTTCACAACTTCAGAGTAGTGTGCAACGCTCTCAACCAAACAATATCTTCCATTAGCTGAAGGAATCTCAAATGCTTGAATATGTGCATTGGCAACATCTTTAACATTAACCCATCCAAATGTAGAATTTGGAAATGTTTGTGAACCTGCAGAATAAAGGAGCAAATAAACAGGTCCATTATTCCCTTAAAAAGAAGTTCCACATCATTTTGCAAAAAATAAAATATGGCAAAAGCCTTATTAATTCAACTAAAGTTTTATGCTTCAAGTTTCAGCAACAATTATTTCTAAATGGAAGAATATTAAAATGCTCCTAGGAAAATTACATTATAGATTTATTAGTTCCACATCATTTTGCAAAAAATAAAATATGGCAAAAGCCTTATTAATTCAACTAAAGTTTTACGCTTCAAGTTTCAGCAACAATTATTTCTAAATGGAAGAATATTAAAATGCTCCTAGGAAAATTACATTATAGATTTATTTATTTATGTTACTCATCAACAAATACATATCATGAAATGAAGGAAAGAGAAGCCAAAGTCCAATATACAGCTTCTTTGGGGAATAGTTTGATTCAACAGAAATATAAATATGTTGTTTCACAAAAGTAAACATAGTTCCTCCTGAATAATTAGCTGACAGGAAATGTCACGTCATCCATAAATGAGAACAGATTACGTGCGTCTGTTATAAAATATAAAGAACACATACCATTTATTACGTTCAAAATTGCAGCAGCACTTGTATTGAGCGTTGGCTGCAAGAGAGGACCGACAACCATTGCTGGGTTAATTGTAACCATGTCAATACCCTTTTCTTTTGTAAACTTCCAGGCAGCATCCTCTGCTAAAGTCTTTGACAGCACATACCAAAGCTGGTAGCAGAAAAAATGGGGATGGGAAACACAGAAGCATTCAACAGAATAGAAAGAGCAGCCATTACAATTGCAAATTATGAACAATCATACAAAGCATATCGATTGAAACAAAACAAAATTATGGCCCTTCATGTAGAATGGTTCATTGAAAATCCTACCTTTGAAAATTTACACACAAAATAGATCATTGAAAACAACAAAAATGATGTATTACAATGATGGACATAGGATTTTTTTTCTTTTTTTTCTTTTTTTATTTTTCCTTCGATTTTGTTGGCCTAGATCACTTGTTCAAACAAGATCTAAAAGAACATAGAAAACCAAAATTCTTGAGGTGTCTAAGTGGGCAGATTTTCAAGTGAGAGCATCAATGAATATGAAACAAGGACATTATGAACTTCAAAACTCAGATTTTCAAGTACCCTAAACTTTGAACATTTCTGTAATGCACTAAACACATTTAAATGGCATGCAAATCTAGGTTAATATATGTTTAGATTGACACCACTCTAGTGATACAATAGGCTGAGCTCCCCCACCCACCACCCCCCACCCCCCCTCCCCCCCAAAAAAAAAAAAAATGGGAGGGGCTCATTTCCTAGTTTTGGTCCTGTGAATGTGGGTTGCTGGTAGCTCAAACTTTTGCCAGCCCTGGATTAAGCATCCATATGTACAGGGAAATTATATATCAACAAACAATGAATAAACAACACACACACCTTATTTTGCTTGCAGAACTCTGGATCAGAAAACCAACTCTCATCAACTACGACGTCAGGAGCTCGAGGCCTACCATTGAAAGCAACGGCAGCTACAGAAGATGTCAACACTACTCTTTTCACAGATGGGTTTTTTGCACATGAGCCAAGAACATTAAGTGTTCCCTTCAATGCGGGATCAATTAATTCCACCTGAAATGAGGTGAGGAATAGTTGAGATAGCAAACACAGAATAAAAGGCATGCTTATTAACAAATCAAAGATAGCATATATGTTTGTATACTCAAGGTTGTAAAGATTGCTCTTATCAATAACAAAACATGTTTTGCCATGGCACCAGGTGAACAAGTCCACTAGCAAATATCCTTAATAGAAATTACAGTTTGATACAACTTACTGGAAACAAATTGGAAACTAGAACAACATCCTAAATATTTTATAAAAACAATGTTTTATGATACAACTCCGCCAGGGTTGTTAACAACTCCGCCAGTCCCAAACCCGGGTTAAGGAGGAGGGTTGTGTGTTAGGTAGCCGACAGCCAACACGTAAAAAAGTCGCTCGGATCCCTTATGAAAATAAATCCTACTTTGAATAGTTTAAATGCTAGGTCGTTCCCCTCAAGTGACGCGTTGTGCCTGCCTCCGGGTGTTTCGAAAAGTGAGCAAGGGGCGCCGCATCGACGCCTGGGTGCGGTGAAAAATGGGCAAAGGTTTCCGTGCTTTTCTGGACGAGCGCGGGTAAAGAAGCTAGTCCAAGACTATAGGTTTAGGGTAGCCACTTGGAACATAGGAACCTTAACTGGTAAGACAATGGAATTGGTAGATGTTATGATCAGGAGGAGAGTTAGTATAGCTTGCATACAAGAAACTAAGTGGACGGGAAAGAAAGCTAGGGAAATTGAGGATACCGATTTTAAACTATATTATAGTGGTAAGGATAGACGCAGGAATGGGTAGGAATCATAATTGCCAAGGGTCTTGTGGAAAGTGTAGTGGCGGTCACTAGGAAAGGAGATAGGATTATGCTAGTTAAACTAGTTATTGGACGGAATATAGTGAACATTATTAGTGCATACGTCCCTCAAGTAGAGTTAGATGATCAGACTAAGAGGGATTTTTGGGAGCAAATGGATGAGATCTTACAGGAGATGCCCGTAGGAGAGAACCTGGTTATAGGTGGAGATTTTAATGGCCATGTGGGCATAGATAAACTAGGTTATGAAAGGGTGCATGGTAGATACGGTTTTGGTGACAGAAATGAGGCTGGAGAGAGTATCTTAGATTTTGCGTTGGCTTCTGACCTGGTGGTGGCCAATACTATGTATAAGAAGAGGGAGGAGCATTTGATAACCTTTAAGAGTGGATTAGTTAAGAGTCAAATAGATTACTTCTTAGTGAGAAAAGTGGACCGCCTAAAATGTAATGATTGTAAGGTGATTCCTGGAGAGAGTCTGGTCTCTCAACATAGGATTTTGGTCCTAGATTTATGTTTTAGAAGGCAATACCAAGCTAAGAAGGATGGTGGGCGTCGTAGGATGAGATGGTGGGACCTAAAAGGGGATAAACTAGAAATATTTAAGAATCGAATGGATAAGGAAGGTACTTAGGACTTAGAAGGTGATGCTAACACTATGTGAAATTCGATGGCCAATTGTATGAGGAGAATCTCAAGGGAAGTGCTTGGAGAGTCGAAAGGAACGGGACCCAACTCTAGGGAAACTTGGTGGTGGAAGGAAGAGGTTCAAGCAGTAGTTAATGCAAAAAAAAGAGTGCTTTCAAAAGTGGCAGAAGGATAGAACTGAGGAAAACCTTAAGAGCTATAGATTAGCTAATAAGGAGGTCAAGAAAGTAGTGCGAGAGACCAAGTTGAAAGTATATGATGACCTATACACTAGACTAGATAGTAAGGAGGGAGAGAAGAGGGTATACAAACTTGCTAAGATACGGGAGAGGAAAACAAGAGATTTTAATCAAGTAAAGTGCATCAAGAGTGAGGATTCTAAGGTATTGGTGAAGGATGATGAGATTAAGGAAAGATGGAAGAATTATTTTGAGAAACTATTAAATGAGGAACATGGAGGTACAACAATAAGGGAAGAAATAGCCAGTAATACGATAAACCAAGACTATAGGTTCTATCGCAGGATTAGGAACTTTGAAGTGAAAATTGCACTTAAGAAGATGAAATCAAATAAGGCTTTAGGACCCGATGATATCCCTATTGAAGCTTGAAAGTGTTTGGGAAAAAAGAGAGTTGGTTGGTTGACTAGGCTGTTTAGCAAAATTTTGTTGACTAGGAACATGTCAGATGAGTGGAGGATGAGTATTTTAGTGCCAATCTATAAGAATAAAGGTGATGTCCAGAATTGTAACAACTATAGAGGAATCAAGCTAATGTGTCATATAATGAAAGTGTGGGAGAGGGTGATAGAACGCCGATTGCGAGATATAACAGAGGTGTTAGAGAATCAATTTGGGTTTATGCCTGGTAGGTCAACAATGGAAGCGATCTATCTTTTAAGGAGAGTAATAGAAAAGTATAAAGAAAAGAAAAGAGACATTCATATAGTGTTTATCGACCTTGAGAAAGCATATGACAGAGTGCCAAAGGATTCCGGATAAGCAGAACTAAGACAGAATACATGGAGTGTAAATTTAGTAACAATAACAATGAAAGCAGAGGAGAAGTGAAGATTGAGAACCAAGAATTGCCTAAGAGTGAACACTTTCGTTATCTACTATCGATTATCACAACAGTGAGAGAGATTGATGCAGATGTGGCCCATAAGATTAAAGCGGGATGGTGTAAGTGGAGAAGTGCGCCTGGGGTATTGTACGATAAACGAATACCCCCTAGACTAAAAGGTAAGTTTTATAGAACGGCTATTAGACCAGCTATGTTGTATGGGACGGAGTGTTGGGCAACCAAGAAACAACATGCAGATAAGATGAGTGTGGCTGAGATGACGATGCTAAGGTGGATGTGTGGTAAGACTAGACAAGACAGGATTAGGAATTAGTGTATTCGGGAATGGATAGGAGTAGCACCGATAGAAAATAAGTTGAGAGAGAATCGTTTGAGATGGTTTGGTCATATTCAATGGAGACCAACAGAGGCAGTAGTGAAGAGATGCGATGCTGTAACGGTAGATGGAAGTGTTAGGTGACGGAGTAGGCCTAGATTAACGTTGACTAGCGTTTTAAATAGAGATATGAATCTACTTAATTTGACTAATGAAATGGCCTTTGATAGGGCCGCGTGGAGAAGAAGGATTCATGAAACCGACCCCATTTGATGAGACTTACGGCTTGATTTGGTTTGGTAATGTTTTATGATACAACCACAAATATAAAAAGATAAGAGAAACCAATCGGCAAAACAAAAACAAAATTTAGAGTTTAGGGTTAATAACTCAAACCAGAAAGTGTCTCTAAAAGGATGCACTCAATGATATTGGAAACAACTGCCAACAAGCTTTTATAGATGGGCAACAAATTCTAGACAAGAATGCTTTTTGCAGTATAAGCAAACAATGCCATGTTTAGTCAGTGGCTAAAGAAATAGCATAAGCTCTAAAAGCCTTCGAAAAAAGTTGTTAGGCCCTAACAGTCAATAAGCCATTTTGCTGCAATTGATGGTCCATGCTAATTATTCAAGTGCCTGTTTATGTTATGTGTGGCGTGGGTGATGAAGGAGAGTTCCGAAATATGAAAGACACTGACATGCTAGCGACCACCGAATATGGAAGAAAAAAGAGTCAATGCAGCCTTAGGAGTGAATGAGGGTGGCAGTGGAGAGTTCTATGACGAAAAGGAACAAGAGGATGTTCAATGTGTCCATTGCATGCATGGAAGTTCCCTTTATAAGGGATGGTGATGTTGCTTTTAAAAATTCCAAAATTTATTTAGTTGGCAACTTCAATTCAACCCAAGATATTTAGTCCAACATTACATCAGCCAACCTATGGGACTTTTGAGTTTACTCATTACAAGTATTCTTGGATAAACCAAGCGGTGCATTCTCAAGCAATATAGTTGATCTAATCTTCTTAGTGAATGTATGTGCTACTAAAATCAATCAAAAAGTTCACTACATTCCATTTCAGCCACAAGTTCCACTTGAAACAAGCACCCAAAGAATATTAAATTCTCCTCAAAGTCAAATAATGGAAAAGATTAATCTTAAGTACAAGATGGATGCAAACAAGTTGAAGCACATGAAGTTTTTACGATCCATGGAAAAGACAAGTTTTTTCTTAAGAGGGACAAAATGATGTAGGAAAAGAGGTTTAGAATTTTTATATTTTATTGTTATTATTTTGGAATTAGATTGACTAGGATTTTGTTAAATAGTGTAGAATTCTTAGTTGAGCATTGCTATTTATGCCCAAAAGTTAGACGCACTTTCTAGACCAAGTGATGTGTCAAGAAAGTAGGTCTAAAAAGTGGACTTCCATATCATTTTCCTTCTTACTTTCTTATTTTCTTAGGTTTCCTAGTTTGTATTAGTTTAAGTTTTCTAGTTTATTTTAGAATTACTTTTCCTGTTAAGTTCAACTTATTATAAATATATGTGTAGGCCTATGAGCATGGGATTCGTTCAATCAATAGTATTTTCCCTTGAGTTTATAATATTTGAATTCAAGGTTGTTATTTATTGAATGAATAACTTCCCCATGCCCATATGTCTACACATATTATAATAAACTAAACCTAATACTTCTAGAAAAAGTAATTCTAAAATAAACTAGAAAACTTACACAAATACAAACTAGAATAAGAAACTAAGAATTATGAACTATTTAACAAAATCCTAGTCGAAATCTAATTCCAAAATAATAAAATAAAATGTAAAAATTACAAAACTCTTGTTCTACATCATTCTCTGCCTCCTAAAAATTAAAAATAAAAAACTCATCCTCGAGTTTCCATGGATCGAAATAACTTCACACCTTCAGCTTGTCTGCATCTAACTTGCACTTGAGATTAATCTTTCAATAGTACAATGCATAATACACCCATGTGACAATGTTTGAAACCGCACTTTTTAAGGAAAAGGTAAAAAATTTACTTTCAGAATTTTTTGCAAATTCTCAAACCATTTAATCAACACATGAGAGGTCCACCATAAAAGAAAACACAACAATATATATATTTATAGATAACAGATATAGGATGAACCTGGGGGTCCTTGACATCATGATAAAAAGGAGATGCTGTATGGAAAACACCTTCACACCCATCAACCAGAGAGTCAAAGCAACCTTCTTCCAGTAGGTTTGCTTTAGTCAAGTGAAGTCTCTCTTTGGCTCCCTCAAGTGCAAGCAAGTGCTGTGTCTTCTTTGGATCAGCTGCAGTTGAATATCAAGTAACAAATAATTCTAAAAACTAATAAAGTGCAGCCATAATCAATAAAAGGATACAGCTATTGTGACCATGTCAGCATGAAACATCCTTTCCCAGTGACAACTTGGAAAAAATTAGACTGGTAACAAGATTAGAACCAAACGACTCAACCGTGAGAATTTTGTACTTGTTCATACACATTAATTCATACACATAGTTGTATAATACATACATTAATATGATTGCATCTAGAAGTAACTGTATATTTGATGTTTATAAGCATATGAGTGGCTAACAATTATAAGTAGTGAATTTGACAATACAACCATCCGATGGTTAGAAGCTGTTTTGTGATTACAATGACTTCACTACCAACAACTTTATAAGCAACAAAACTGATGTAGAACATCATGTGCTTGGCGTGTGATAGTTAGTGGTGGGTAGTGGTTAGCCTATATCTAGGGAAGTGATAACCATTTTGTAACTAACTTTTAAATATTGAACATTGATTGATTGAGAAATTATCTCTCTAGAACCTAGGGTTCTTCTCTCTCTTATTCTTGATTGGACCCATCATTTGCAATCGATTAAAGCACTAAAGCTATGACATAGGATCAGGAGAGGAGTGGGGATAGATTTGGAGAAAATAAAGGTCAAATCTGGTGGACACAAAGGCCATGATTGTTTGGCTCCATGAGTGAGGCGATTGGACTAATAGTGAGGGAGGGCCAGCCACATAGAGAGTGTTTGGTTGTGGAAGGTTGTGATGGGATTAACACTCCAAGGGGACTAGCAATCCCCCTCCTTGGTTGGACTAGCATAAAAGGAAAACATATGAGATGGGATTAATGGATTAAAATATTAAATCAAATGGATTAAAATATTTTTAATATTATTTTTTTAAAATAATTTATGTGTGAAAGAAATATTTAAATTTTTTAATAAATACTAAAAATATATGATTTTTTTATAATTTGTGAATTTTTATGTAAAATTTATATTTTTTTTAAGTGTCTCTAGATTAACTCGACTTAAAAAATACAAAAATATTAATAATTATAATATTAAAAAAATAATATAAATTTAAAAATATTAATTTTATATATTAATACTATCTATAGTATTACTAATCTGGTGGTATACAAATAAACACTCTTTATTCTACATCTCCAACCTAATACCATCACACTAATAATCTTCCCACTCAATCCCACCGTACTCTTAATCCCTTCCATGCTATGGAGCCAAACCAACGAGGCCACACACTAGGGAGACAAAATAGAAATGTCCATGTAACACAACTAATTTTTAAGTCAACCTAAATAGGAACCTGTACCTACCTCTTCAATAAGATCCATAACCAAACATAAATTATGCTTCCCTCTTGTTGAATGTTTTGATTTACTATGCACACACAATTTCACAACACAACAAATGCACCAAATCACGACTCCCGCATAGATATGGAGGGGGAGGGAGAGAGAGAGAGATAGAGAGAGAGAGGGGGGGGTATGGGCTGGTTTTGTATAGTTTTGATCTGATGGCTTTTTGACATTTTACAATTTCATTTTAATCCAACTAAAAATTAGGTTATTTAATTCTTTAATTTTTATACAATCAATTGAAAAAATTATTCATGTAAAAAATTAAATTTATTTAGGCTCCGTTTGGCATATGGGTTGAGGTTAGCCAACAAAAAAATAAAATAAGTTAATTTAGCCAATAAGATAAAATGTCGCGTCCAAATCATAATTATTTCATTTTTTCTCTCACAACCATCAAATCAACTATCAAAAAAAAAAAAAAAACAGACAAAAATTCAGAAATTTATTCCAAACAAAATTTTTTTAGCCAGACTAAAATAGCTAACCAGTCATGCTAAAAATGTTTATCCCAAACGAGGCCTTAGTCTTAGATACTTCATGAGAGTCTGATCTCTCTGCTTCAGCATTTAAAATCATATTTCTTTTGGGCAACCACTTCTTCATAGACAATGTATGGTAAATCACCCTTGTATTTGCTTAGTCTTGGCTCACAATTTCATCAATGTTCAAGAAATCAATTATAATTGAAAGATTTAACACATCAGCCATTGGCAATTTTTTTAATAAAATCAAATCAATAATTATGACCCACTATGGCAAATTACTACATCTAATTTGTGTTTTAAAAACTACTTTTCCCGATGGCATATCAACACACAGAAAATCCCTTGTGTACAAAAATTAAAGGAGAAATTTAAAAAAAAAAAAAAAATCCGAAGTATGACCCTTATAATAAAACAAAACTTAAATTTTTTATTTTGTCAATTTAAATCTTAATATTTTAATTTATATTTTTAATCTAAACAATTAACCCTATTTCTATTTTCTATTTTCTATTATGTAAAATCAACAAAAAAAATTTATATTTTAATCATTAAACGCGTAATTGTACATAAAATGTTTAAAATATGCGAGTTTAACAACAAAAATATAAATAGTTTAGATTGAAAATAAATTTGATTTTACTGGACAAAAAAAAAAGCTCAGCAGTATTTTGGATTTTATTTTTTTGTAATTTCCCAAAATTAAAATATTCTCTAAAAAAAAATTTAAAAAATCATTTTATACAAAACGCATAAAATTACCCAATAAAAACATCCCCAAAACAGCACAAAAACAAATTATATATATAAAACCTAGCACTAATCCAAGGGAAGTGAATCGCATAGCAAAATCAGGTATTGGGTATTCAAAGAAATCAAGATAGCCAACAGGATTAGATATCAAAGTAAGAGAGAGAGAGAGAGAGAGAGAGAGAGAGAACTGACAAGGGTCGCGAACAGAGGCTTTGACAGTATAACCACGTTGGAGCAACAAGTTGACAAGCCACGAAGCTATGTACCCGGACGCTCCCGTCACACACACCGTCTTCCCTACTCCGCTCATTCTCTCTCTCCTCTCTCTCTGTTCTCCGTCAGCTTTTATTTCCAACTATTTGCCTCTCTTTTTCCAATCGTTGCATTGCTATTTAAAGGGTGTTTATAATAGAATCTAGGGGCGCGCATGGTCTGAATTGGATTGAATTGGGATAAAATTAAAATTAATTTGTTATTTATGGTTCTTGAAAAATCAGAACTAATTCAATCTGTTTAAGTTTTGGAACCAATTCGAACCAATCTATTTCAACACAGATTGGATCGGTTTAGGAATACAGATTCATATAATTAAATAATAAAAATATATATATATATATGTATATAACACTTTAATTTTATAAAAATATAAACATAGCGCTATATTAGTTCTACAATAGTAACATATTTTTCTATAATAGCGACATAACATTCTAGAATTTAAACAATCGTAAAAAAACTAGTTTCACCATAAGTATTTAGACCATTACAAAATAAAACTAAAAAATAAAAATAATAAAAGAAGATATTATGCGAGGTTTAGGTTTGAGTTTAGATTTTATATAGAATAAGAGAAGATACTATGGGGGAGGATGTATAATAAAAATATAGACTATTTGTATACGGTCCGGATCGGTTCTAATCCGGAACCGTGGGGTTCAATCCGGAACCAATCCGTGGACTACGGATTTTTAATTCTTCAATCCGGAACAGAACAACGGATTCAAAAAACCAATCCAAACCTATTGGATTGGACTGGACTGGATCGGATTACGAATTTTATGGATTTCTTGCTCAACCCTAATAGAATCTCCCTTCTATACTCTTTTAAAAAAAAATGTATCATATATATCCTTACTTATGCTATTTTATTTTTTAGTTATGATCAATTTTCTTCTTTAGTTATGGTATTATTTTATTTATAATTTATGAATTCTTTAGTTATAACATTTTTTTTAGTTATTAATTTGAAAATTAAAATTAAATTATTTTTTTCTTTTAATTATAAAATGTATATGATGCATATCCTTTAAAAGGTATTTTCTTGCTGTCTATACAAGATTAATATTAGAGATATCAACATTTTTATTAAATGTCTCGTGGGTGTCACATAGACATTTTATTTTTGGTAGAAATGTTAGGACTTGTAAGATTTTGGGAGAATAAGTCTCATATTTTGAATTTGTAATTCATATAGTCTCATATTTTTTATTGTGATCTATTTAGTCCTTTTGGATATGTAATAACTCATTTACCCGTCACATTGGAGTGTCACATTTGAAAAAAGTACATTAAAGAGTTTTTTAATATCACATCATACCCGCCACATTAGAGTCACATTTGAGAAAAGTACACTAAAGAGTTTTTAATTTTTTTAGACTGTCACATCATACTCGCCACGTTGTAGTATCACATGTCACGTTTGAAAAAAATGCACTGAGAAGTTTTTAATTTTTTTAGATTGTCACATCATATCCGTCACGTTGTCACATTTGAGAAAAATAAACTAAGGAGTTCTTTATTTTTTTGAAAATGTCACATTATTCTCGCCATGTTGTTACATTTGAAAAAAGTATACTAATAAGTTTTTATTTTTTTTGGAGTCAAAGTTTTGGAGTGTCACATTATACTCGTCATGTTGTCACATTTAAAAAAAATACACTAAGGAGTTTATAATTTTTTTTGAGTGTCACATCGTTGGAGCGTTACATTAATACTTGCCACATTGGAATATCATATCATACCTATCACATTAATAAAAATGTATAGTTGTCCACCAAAAAATTACCAAAATAAAAAATAAGACCACACAGAAAGAAACGCTCCACTAATAGGACTTGACAGATCAATAAGCTTTTAGTCACTTTTTTAGGTTTGTAGCAAAAGTTAAAAGTTGACTTTCTTGTATTTTTTTTTTCATTTGGGAAGTTGGTTTTCAGCCACTAGTGAAATTACAATTCTACCCCTCATGGGTCAAAATATACTACATGGATGAAGTTGTAAATATTTTAAATTGAATAGGAATAATTTGGTCATTTTATTGTGATTTAACATCATAAACAAATATTAATCTAAAAAGTTAAAAGTAACTTTTTACCAACTTTCTAAATCATTGTCTAAAAAAATCAAAAGTTTGGTTAAAAGTCAAAAAATTACTTTTTATTATCTTTTCAAAATAGGCCAAAAAAAATTAGGACTAATTAAAATATTTGTTTGTGAAATAAAATTTATTGTTAAATACCCCTACGATTTTCCTTCGTACAAACAAACAAAATAAATACAAAGTGCCTTTATAGTATGAGATGGCACAAGTTGGCCAATTACTTTTAAACAAAAAGTCATCCAATTAATTGTTAATTACATAAATATTGCTATCCTATCATTTTATTTTAATAACAAATTATGTATATATATATATTTTGTAAAAATATCTTTTCTCAATAAATTACAAGTAATGTTAGAATCCTTTGATGTGGCGTGTCATCTTAATGTTGAATGGAAATAGGGCCACGATTGTGCTAAAAGCACAACAATGATTGTTGTGTTTCAATTTGAGATATATTATGAATTTATTTTTATAAAAATAATTTAGACCACTAATTAGTGGTGGCTCTACATGTGTTTTGTGCCTTGTTTTTTTTTTTTCTTTTTTTTTTTTTCAATTGCTACCTCACTAGTGGTGGTATTAGTGATGATAAATTAGTAGTCTATAGCATTGCTCTTATTTTTATGATCCGAACTGTTTATTTTGTAGAATTTGTTGAGGACTTCATGTCTACCAAAAATCATATTAATCAGATATCAATAACTATATGATTGATAACAAAAAAAATGAGCAATGAGTTTTTCTTTTGAGAAATAGCATAAAAAATATGTAATTCGATCATATAGTTATTGATATCCGATTAACATGATTTTTGGTAGGCATAAAGTACTCAACAAACCCTACAAAATGAATGGTTTGGATCATAAAAATAAACTCATAATACACCTCAAATTAAAACTATTGTGCCTTTAATACAGCAGTGACCTCATCTCCATGTTGAATAGTAATAATGCAATGAACATGCCATAATGGAGTATGTCATAGTATTGCAATGACACATCCTTATTTATTACATTAGAGGCTTGTTATATTAGTTTTTATGATTATATTTGTCAAACTGTTTAAAATAATCTTTACATTAGGGTAATTACAACAAAATAAAATTTCACATTGTTACAATACATCGCTTGATATAGTGATGTATTGTTCACAAGTTATTCATTATTTTATTATTTATTCTAGAAAAAATTTCACCAAGTAGTCGAGCATCCCAGTCATTCACCTGATCGGCCACGTGATCGACCACCCAATAAATTTAAAAAATTGGATAATTTTCACCAAGTGGTCAACCCTCGGGCAACCACTCGATCAACCACCCAATATCTCTCTAAACTGGGCAATTTTTACCAAGTGGTCGGCCATCCGATCATCCACTCGGTCGACCACCCAACAAAAATGAATATTTTATAAAATTAAATTTTAGAGTAGAGAGCTTGATGAAATGCGTACATAAAAAACAAAATGCTTGTTAAAATACAAAAGTAGATTTTTAGTTATAATTTGACTCAAATTTGTTGAGTCTGATGCGGATACTCTTAGGGTTGTTAGTTGCAATTTATATTACATTGTTTATAATTTTTTTTATAGCTTGGGATTGTTTCTAGTTTGGAGTTTATTCAATTCATTATAGATTTTGTTTCGATTTGAATTGTTCATTTTGTAGAATTCTTCGTTACTTGTAAAAAAAAATTAGATCAATCCAATAATCATAACCTAGTATAGTATGTATGAACAAAAAAATATATATGTCCATTTAAAAATATATATATTTATTGTCCATCTTTTAGAGACAAATGCGATACATTGAATAGAATATAACTATTGGATCGACTTAATTTTTTTAATGAATAATATACACAAATAGTCTTATAAAAATTGAGTGGTTTAGATAATCAAAACATGACTTGTGATGAGCCTTACAAGTCCGAACAACACCCTCCAATTCAGATCTTGGACTCGAGTGAAGTCCAATTATTTTTATTTATTTTATGATTTTGTGCAAAATTATTTAGTGTAGTTTAAGTTCAAAAATATTATATATATATATATATATATTTCATATTAGGAACAAAATCTTTATTGAAAAACCCATAAAAAAATGGATCAATTTAATATAACGGTATCACAAGATCTCATAAAGAGATAAACAACCTCCATAGAAGAAAGGACCCAAGCCTCCACAGAAGAGGCGAAAAGCTCCCCACAAGGGAGAGAAACAAACCTTCACACAGAATGATTATTACATTAACAAACTAAAAATTAAGAAAATCAAATATAAAAAACCAGACCTAAGTCACCGCCGAACTCATTAGAGCCGGCCCTAAGGCAAGACGAGCAAGGCTTCCGTTTCAGGCCCCCAAATTCTGTCTAAATAATAGGGGCCCCAAATAATTTTTGATCTTAAATTATATTTGGTTTATTGAAATAAAGTGAAATGAAACTATGGGGACATAATTTTTAAATGACAACACGTGGCCGAGGTGTCACCGAAGTGCCAGCCGAGGTGCCATGTGTCCTAGTCATGATATCGAGATGATCTCGGCTAGGCCGAGGTTATCTACGAGAATACCGGAATCCGGGATAAGCGGATAAGGAACAAGAGTCCTAGAATGAGAGAAAACTTCAGTTTGGATAAAGATAAGACTGTTAGAGAGTTTATCCCAATCCTACTAGGAGTCCAAGATTAGCAGTAATCCTAAGTCCATTGAAGCTAGGCTTCTATTGGGATTAGGTTTGTGTTGGCTATAAAAGAGAGGCACCCTCATGGGTCTAAGGTATGTTTTTTATGCTCTGAATAGTGAGTTAAGCACTTTTGCTATCTTTGAGAGATAACTGACTTGATCGTCAGAGTGCCCCCGGGAGGACGAACCACCGCCGTAATCTTCTTTTTGTGACAGGTCGTTCGGACTTAATCTATTCTGCCAGTGTACTCCAGCTGAGTGCTTGATTGGCAGTGTGGTCAGAAATTGACACACACAATTTGGCACCG